TTACTACTTCCGGCCTCCTGCTTTCCTTCATTCAACAACCCAGCAATTATGTCTCCAGCTTTGCTCAAGTTATGTTTCTTCAAACTGAAAGTGTGTCTAAAATGTCTTCATAAAAGTCCATCTAAGAAATGCTGGTTGTTTGCTTTTTTGTTTATTATTGGAACTTGAGGTTTCTAATAGTTTAGAGTTCAAATTAAGTTGAAAAGAAATTGTATGGTTTTGGTAATAGGATGTATAAGATATGGGATATATTTTGAAGGGAAAAGAAAGTGAATTGTTTTAAAGTTGATTGTTTCTGAAAGAGTTGGGAAAGTTGTAGAAAGGTTTGTGAATGTTGAAGGTTTGTAAAGAGAAATGTGAGAAGGAAGTTATATAAATGACAGGCCAAATTGAAACTAAACTTAATACAGTAAATACAATGCTCTTAATTTGACTCTAATAAAAATGACAGTGATTTTAGGGAGGAAATGTGTTTCAACAGACTCTAAAATAGTTATCAGTATTAGCCTCTACTTCAATCAATTGTCTTCAAAGTTTTATTTTTCACCTATGAATTGCACTGGATCCTGAATTTTTCTAGTGTTCTTAAATATTTGACTACAACCCTCCAGACTAATGTCTAATTTTTCTCCAATCCTTTGTCTTGGAATTAGTGAGAACTAAATGTTTATTTTTCTTTCACTGGGCCATTTTTTCTAATTCTTGTCATTCTAGCTTTTGCCCCAATAAATATTTTTAATAATGTTTTTATTGATTTTTTTTTTATAGAGAGAGGAAAGACAGAGTATCACCCAGGCAGGGGAGGAGGCTGCAACCAAGACATGTTCCCTGGACTAGAATCAAACCCAGGAGCCTTCTGTCCACAGGCCCATGCTCTATTCACTGAACCAAACCAGCTAGGGCTGCCCCAATATGATTTATAACAGCGTTTGTCTCCATCAGCTTACAAGTCCTAGTCATACTCAGGAAGTACCACCTCTAGACACCCTGACAGAGTGAGGATCTCTGGGCTCTGAGATAAAACATTACCCCTTTTCAGCAGGAAGCAGCTACAGAAGAGTCCCTGTGCCCCTTTTCTCAGAAAGAATTCAGAGGCAAGGTCTTGAGGGGGATATTGCAGGCAGTTAGACATGAGCACAATAAGGACACAGACCAGGTACTGGGGGTCACCAGGTGGACAGCCCCAGGTGCCAAGCAACAGGACAATCAATTTTAGGGTTTGGGCCTCGCCCCCAGGTGGCTCTTCCTCCCCTCGCTTATCAAGGGTCATGTGGTTTGGACCCCTCCCTGCAGGTAACATCCAGGCCTCAGGTGTTAGTTCAGCTCCAGGACCAGCTGCGTGAATAACGAGCCCCTGCCCTGGTGCCGGCCAGTCAGTGGAGACCACATCCCAGAAAGGACACACCTGGAAACTGCTGGCTGTTTTAGTGAGATCTTCCCCGGGACCTCCCCTACAATCTCCACTTCTAAAACCCGTAGGAGGGAAGACCTGTGTGTTCTCCCTCCTGGGAGAACACCTGTCCCTCCCCCCCCACCCCCCACCGCACCTAACATCACCTTCCTCACTCCGGCTCCTCGCCCTGTCCTTTACCACTATAAATTGCTTCCTAAGTCCATTCATCTAGGAATTACTTCTACCTCTGTGAGTTACCAAATAACTGTTCTCTTACAAACATAAATAAATAAATAAATAAATGAATAGATGATAGATAGATAGATAGATAGATAGATAGATAGATAGATAGGTAGATTTTTCTGGAAACTCCAGGAGCTCTCAAAAGGAGCAAAAGGGGCCAAGGGTCTGAGTATTTTATTTACCATCAACAAAATTTGAGAAACACAATAATGGGGAAAACAAACCAGTTATAAAGAAAGTCAGCCACCATCTATCATCTCGCTCCTCTATTTCTCTTTATATACAAATCTTCCCCACACTGCCTGGAAGCAAGAGCCACTCTGAGTTTTATCTCTCCCATCCTCGCCCCCCCTTAATAGGCCCAGAGACTAAATAAACACCCTCAATCACAAAGTCTGTGTTCAGGTGACAGCCCTACCAAGACCACACAATTCCCTCAGCAATCAAACACCCTCTCCGCTTCCTCCCCTCAACTAGGAGTCCTCTGTCAGAATCCCTGCAATGGGAATGCTAGCGTTGGGACGGGTCAATGCCCACCGCAGTACCAGAGGCCCAGGCTGCACAGTGACCTGTGACCTCAGACTCCCAACGTCAGAAAATGCCAGGAGGCAGACACTCCCCCACAGCTCTCTCACAGCACCCACAGCACGGGCTGTGTGTGCCCCATTCTGGAAGGTGCGCTCCATCTGAGGTGGGCTTTGTCCAGAAGCACGGAGACAAGGCGCTGAGAGCCGAGTACTGGTGAAGTGACCGGGAAGCACTGGCGGGAGGGAGACAGGACCAGGGGGCCAGCCCGGGGCTCTCACAGCAGCGTAGGGCTGGGGCAAACGAGACCCTGCCTGCTGGAGGTTTCTGTGCCTGTAAGTTGCCCTTCTGAGGGTAAGAGACAGTATTAACCACAATTTCTACCTGCCATTGGCTGGGGCCTGCTCCAAGGGTCAGTAGCTCCCGGGCGCTCCAACCCGCCTTTCACACAGCAGCATGCACGCTTGGCCAGCAAAGCCCTTGTGCAGTGTCACCATGCTTGTGGGGAGAAGCCATGAGGATCCTCAGAAAATTACAATAGCCCTGGCTGCTTTGGCTCAGTGGATGGTGTCGGACTGCGGACTGCGGACTGAAGGGTCCCGGATCAATTCCAGTCAAGGGCAGGTAACTCGGTTTCAGGCTCTATCCTGTCTCTGGTTGGGGGCTCTTGCCAGCGGCAAGTAATGGATGTCTTACATCGCTGTCTCTCTCTCTCTTCCTCTCTCCCTCCTCCATTTCACTCTCTCTAAAAATCAATGCAAAAATATCCTTGGGTGAGGATTAACATAACATAACATAACATAACATAACATAACATAACATAACATAAAATAGAACTACCATATGATCCAGCAGGATAATGAAATCAGGGTCTCAGACACTGCACCCCATGTTCACTGCAGCCTCATTCTCAGCAGCCAGGACATGGGAACAACTCAAATGTTCATCAACAGAAGCATGTGGCGCCTTCTATTCCAGTGTATGCTTGGCTCAGTGGATAGAGCATCAGCCCGAGGACTGAAGGGTCCCAGATTCGATTCCAATCAGGGGCCTGTACCTCAGTTGCAGGCTCGATCTCCACACTGGTCAGGGCATGTGTGGGAGCAGCCAATCAACGTGCCTCTCTCACATAGATGTTTCTCTCAGTCTCTCTCTTTCCCTTCCACTTCCTCCAAAAATCAATGGGAAAGTATCCTCCAGTGAGGATTACAAAAACAAAAAAAGAGGAAATCCTACCCTTTGTGACAAAGTAGGGGGACCTGGAGGCATTGTGCTGATAGATAAGGCAGCCACAGCGTTTTCGGATGGCTTGTTATATAAGGCCTCTAACATAGCCAAAGCTATAGAAGTAAACAGAAGGGTGGTCACCAGGGCTTGGCGCGGGGGACATAGGGAACCGCTGTTCAATGGATATAAAGTTAGTTACACACGGCAAGCTCCAGAGCTCTGCTGTACCATGTTCTCCTCCAGTATGCCCAGGCCCATTAAGGTTCTGTGCACTTAAACATTTAAGCAGGTAGGCCTCATGGTGAGTGTTCTTACTACATAAATTAAAAAAACAAAAACTAAAAATCAAAGGGATAAATTTTTGGAGATGACTATGTGAAACCTTGATTATGTCCAAACTCATCAAATTGTGTGCATATGTGGTGTCGAATACCAATCAGAGCTCACGAAAGCTGGGGTCGGGAGCGCTGGCAGGTGAAGCCTGGCTGGAGTGCTAACCATGCGCTCTCCTAGACTGCAAAGCCCTGCCTGTTGCCTTGGCCAATGCCTGCAGCGTGTGCGTTCCCCACAGCCAGTTCCCAGGTGCGGGGCGACATTACCCAAGGCAGAGTTGGGGAGAGATGAGCACAGGTGGCTCTCACGTGTTGAGACAAGACAACTCCAGCACAGACCTGGGCGAGGGCATGGCCAGGACAACCAGCATCTCCCAGAGCTACGGCCATGGTGCTTTGCTAGACCCAGGATCTTATCATTTTATGTGACTTTCACACTCCTTTTGTGATTTGTCAATTTAAACATCCCCAAGGATTTACTCTCAAAAACTTAGATTTCATAGCATAGAAAGGTATGTCTTATTTATAATGTATTAGCTCTCTCCTCCCCTCACCCAAATCACAGCAGCACGCACCCATGGGACCAAGAGGAAACCCATTTCAAAGACCTCATGGTCAACCTCACGGTGATGGTAGCTCTTGTTGTCTGACCAGCACAGACAAGAGCTACTAGCACTTCGTTGTCCTCTAAGCAATCATCCCTTACCCCACCTGAGTCCTCAGCACCTGCATTTCCTCCCTCCAGCAGGTAGCACATGACACAGGTCTGGCCAATCAGAACGTTCCATTCTCCTGGAGAAGGGACCAGGCCCCAGGGAGCTGATGACACTCTTTGCTAGAAATCTTTAAAAAGAAAATCTGTTCCCACTGGACTACTGAGGAGGCCAGGAGCCGCTGGTGGCCAGACCCTTCTAGAATGAAGCTAACACACACACAAATGAGAGAAATGGAGAACACTAAGGCAGACAGCATCCTCTGAGCTCTCAGCTCAGCTCTGCCTGAGGACACTTTCAGACTGTTATCTGAGCCACCGCACCCCTTTTACCTTAAGTCCCTTTGATTTGGGATTTCAGTCACTGGCATCCAAAATGTTGTTGGCTGATTTATAGGCCTGAGAACAAGTGAGTTGGACGTTAGTGCACGCCCATCCAGCTCTGTCGCCTGCAGCCTAAAGAGAGTTCAGTGTAGAAGAAGGGTTTATTGAAGCCCATCCCTCCGTGGGGGCTGAGAATGAACACTGGGCAGAACTGGTCTTTTCAAGCTGGCCGCACACACAAAGGTCACTTCAGGATCCGGATGCTCATCTTCTGCTCGATGTTCATCTTCTCCAGGGACTGGTGGGGATGGGTGCAGTTAAGAGAACTTGAACTTCAGCCCTCTAGTCTTCCAACTTCCTCTCCCACCTCACGGCCCCCAGGGAACCCCTATCTTTCTGCCCTCCTCCTTCAGGCTCCATTTCCCTGTCCATCTGTCCTGGGAACTCATCCTTCCAACTCCTCAGGCCCCAAGGGCGTTCTGACCTTGGTGAATTCCAGGAAGGACACAGCCCCATCCCCATCTTCATCGGCCTCCTGCACCGTGCGGTCAGTAATGCTTTCCAGTTGCTCTTCCGTCACCTGCACCCCAACCATTAGCCGGAGCACCTGGGAGGAGGAAGAGACAGCCATAAAGAGGAGGCACAGGGACAACTAGCACCCTCCCCCAACCTTGTCCATGTCGCCCCAAAAGTTACAAAGTATTAACGATTTCATAACCCATTCCTCCTTTGTTCATCCCTTCCCATCACATCCACCAATAGTTTCCCCTACTGCTTCTCAGTGTAAACCCTCACTACCCCTCACTCACCTCAACAGTATGCCCAGCCCATTCTCAACTGCAGCCTCAGAACCCAGCCTCCACCCCAGCCTCCAGCTATTCCCAAACCCCCACTTCATTACATGGATCCCAGTTTTTCAATCTCCATTGTGTTTGGGGCCAGATAGCTCCTTGCTCGGGAGGAGGGGCTGTCCTTTGTAGGGGAATGTTTAGCAGCATTCCTGACCTCCACCCTCTAGGTGCCAGCCCCACCACCCCCTCCCCAGCTGTGATTACCAAAATGTCTCCAGATATGGGCGATATCATTCAGGGGGCAGAATCACCCCCAGCTGAACCACGGATCTATTCCCAACCTGATTCCCAACTGCTTCCCCATCTCTCAACTAACCCTCACTCCAACCCCACCCATTCCCATTGCCCAGGTCACACCCCCAAACCATCCCCCACCACCATGCCATTCAACCCCCCCCCCCAACCCCACCCCGCACACGCCACATCTCTGCTCTTGTGCCCTCCCCACCTGTAGCATCTCGTGCCTGGAGATCTTTCCATCTCGATCCAGGTCGTAGAGCTGAAAAGCAACTGGAAGAATGGGGAGGGGAAAGGAAGGTGAGTTTCCTTTGGTTCTCATCCAGATCACGGAGGGGTAGGGAGGTCGTTAAGGACTCACAAAGGGAGTGGAGGGTGCCTGGGGCCCTCACAGGTGTGGAAAATCTGGGGTCTCACTTAGGGGGACCCTACCAACTCACAGCGAAGTTTGTTCATTCTGCTGTTGAGGGGTTCGGGTTGCATGGGGTCCCGGGTTCCTGTGTCCTCATCATCTACAGGTCGGAAATGAGCCAGGACTCGGACAAAGTCGGGGAATTCCACTCGAAGGCTCCTGGGAGGGTGGGAAGGGGGAAGCAGAGGCAGTGATTACCTTGGCCCTCCTTTCGCCCCCATACCTAATATCCCTCACCTTTCTCCGCCAACAAATCTCCCCCACTTACCCCCCACTTATTCTCCCCACTTATTCTCCCCACCCAATCTCCCCACTTATTCTCCCCACCCAATCTCCCCACCCATTCTCCCCCACCCATTCTCCCCCACCCAATCTCCCCACCCATTCTCCCCCACCCAATCTCCCCACCCATTCTCCCCCACCCATTCTCCCCCACCCAATCTCCCCACCCATTCTCCCCCACCCAATCTCCCCACCCATTCTCCCCCACCCAATCTCCCCACCCATTCTCCCCCACCCAATCTCCCCCACCCAATCTCCCCCACCCATTCTCCCCCACCCAATCTCCCCACCCATTCTCCCCCACCCAATCTCCCCACCCATTCTCCCCCACCCAATCTCCCCACTCATCTCCCCTCACAGTGCCACACAAGCTTTTCCCTCCATCTCCCCTCACCCATCAGGGAAGAAGCTGTCTATAATGCGATCCCCCAGGGGGTTCACGGCCAGGGCCCCGATCTGCTGCAGATCCACGCGGCTGGAAAGGAGATTCACAGTGAGGAGGGAGGGAGGATGGAGACGGAGGGTCAGCGGGGCACCGGGGGTCACGGGTCACCCCTCACCTCAGATAGCCCTTCTTGTTACTGTCCAGGGCCCGGAACCGGTGGTAGAGGCGGAGCAGGGTGGCCTGCGAGACTGCGGGCGGGAAGGGACAGGGTGAGCCCCCCTGCGCCCCCCAGAGCTCGGGGGCGGCGGAGGGCGCGCGCTGCTCGGACCCGGGCGGCGGGAGGCTGGAGGCAGCGCGCGCACCCGGAGGCGCCCCCGCCCGCGCCCCCCGCCGCCCCCTCGTCTCCGGCCGGGAGCCCGGTGCCCAGCCCGGTGCCCAGCCGGGAGCCCGGTGCCCAGCGGGGAGCCCAGTGCCCAGCCCGCCCGCCCGCCGCAGCCGGCGCTCACAGCCCGTCTCCCGCCGAATGCGGTCCGCGTCCGGCACCTGCGCGGCGCGCGAGCCGCCCGAGCCCATGGCGCCGCCGTGTCCTCCGCCAGCGCGGCCGCGGCCCGGCCGAAGGCCACCGCCAGGCGGGGCTCCCGGCTCCGGCCCCGGCCCCGGGCCCGCCCTCCGCCCTCCGCCCGCCCGGCCCCGGAGCAGCGCCCGAGCGGCGGGCACGGGGCGGCGGGCCCAGGGGCGCGGTCGGCGGGCGAGGCTGGGCGAGGCCGGTCCCCCGCCCTCCCTCCCGCTCCCACGGGTCCTGCCCGCCCTCCCCGCCCGCCTCCGCGGGCCCAGCCCTCCCAGCCGCGTCTCCCGGCGCCGCGAGAAGGGCCGGGGGTCCCCGCCTCCCTCTGCGCGCGGAACACAGTCCCTCTGGGCGGGGGCAGCGGAGCCCGTAGGTCCAGTCCGCACGGCCTGGCCCCTCCCCAGGCAGGGGAGCGGCAGCGGTGTCGCGGACTCCCAAAGGGGAGCAGGGGAGGGCCCCGGGCCAGAGGGGCGCAGGGCTGAGTGGAAGGAGCCCTGCACTTGGCACTTGCACCGCAGCCCAGCCAGGCCCTGGCTGCCTCCTGTCTGGTCCGCACACGCGGCTGCTGCTGGATGAGCCGGTGCTTTCCAATCAGGAGACTGAACCGACCAGAGGCCCTCTCTCCCCAGAGGCCGGAGTCTGACACCTCTCGGCCTCGCTGCTGCAGCTGGGAGCAGCTGCCAAGTTCAAATGGAGCCCGGAGCCCCGAGCGCCGTCCTGGTGCAGCGCCCACCCAGCCCGCCACCCACGCTGAGCCAGGGCCCTGGTAGACGCCCCAGCCCGGGGCTGACTCAGACCTCTGGCCGTGGGCTCGCAGGCTTCAAGCACACCGCTTGCATTAGCACTCACACTCCACAGCACCTGCTAAACTGTGTCCCTGCTTTTTAAAAAAATATGTATATACCTTATTGATTTCAGAGAGGAAGAGAGAGAGAGGTAGAAACATCAATGATGAGAGAGAATCATTGATGGGCTGTTTCCTGCACGCCCCCTACTGGGGACCCAGCCTACAATCCATGCGCGTGCCCCTGACCCTTCAGTCCACAGGCTGCCGCTCTGTCCACTGGGCCACACCGGCTAGGTGTTTTCCTGCTTTCATGCGGCGGAGGCTGCCCAGAGAGCCAGATGTGAGCTATTGTAAAGCATGAGAGAGTACCACATGGCCCCCAAAGGGGCAGTTTTTTATGTATCAGGCACAGGTGCACATACAGTCTATGACTAGATGTACAGTATGTCAGCCATGTTAAAATTTCTCAGGAAGGGGTAATCAGAGGGAAAACTGTTCCTTAAGTGGCGACAGTAATGAAAAAAGAAAGGCTGAGAAACTTGGCTGTAAAAGAGCAAGCGCCCCAGGTGTCCAGTGTGACTTTATCCTCCCCTGCCCCTCCCCCATCACAGCCTCACACAGACACATTCCCCAGGGGCCGCTCATTACAAGGGTTCAAGTTCACATCCGCCCCGGAGAGAGAAAAGCTGGAGAAACAATTGAAGCTCCAGCCCCAGGCAGAGACTTGCATCAGAGAAGCCTTGAAAATATTGATCTAAGAAGTGCTTGCTTCTCTTCCTGGTACTCCAAGGATTAAGCAACTGGCAGAAGGAATGCTTGGTTCCCTTTCTCTCTCTCTCTCTCTCTCTCTCTCTCTCTCTCTCTCTCTCTCTCTCTCTCTCTCTTTCACACACACACACACACACACACAGAACGCTGTGATCAGGCTGGGAGTGCAGTTGGGGTGAGGTTCTGAACCAGAAGGGGGTACGGGTCCCTGGGACGTTGCAATAATCACCTCAGGCCAGCGTGGGATGCCGACCTTGGAAAGACCCTCCACAGCCATAATCTCTGCGTCAGCGCCACTTGGAGTGAATGGGGCCAGAGAGTAATTACTCCCATCCCGAGCCTACAGGAGCGCTTGCTGGAACCCACTCCTCTTCGCACACAGTAGTGCTTACATCAGCTTCAGGATATCCGTAGCCTCATCTGTCCGGACATTGAAAGGGGAGATGTTTGGGGAGGATTTCCCCTGCAGAACCCAATGGACTGGCTGAAGTTTTTTGTTTGTTTGTTTTTTTGCTATGAAGTTGTATAAAATGTGTCGGCAGTTCTCAATGAAGAAATACTAAGATTCAAGTGGTGGGAAATGCAGATGCAAGAATAGTCAGGAAAATATAGAACTCTTACAACTCAACAGGAAAAAAGACAAGTATCCCAATTATTAAAAAAAATGTTTGCATTGCTTTGTTTCTTAAATATTAGTCACCTGGGACTTATATAAATCTCAAACATTAGTTAAGCAAACAATGCAAGCCTATCAAAAAGAACTTTAAAGCTTACAGAGCTTTGAAAGTTCTATAAAGTTCAACTTCCACACTGGATCTTAGCCAAAAGGCCGAGAAGCGATAAAAGTTCAACTTTGAGAAATACCGCAGAATAAACATTTTTCTTTACAAGACTTTGAAGGAGTTTGGCTGAAGTTTGAAATTATCATAGTGTGGTAAAATAGATTGAAGAGGCAGAAACCAAAGTCATATGACCTTATCTTCCAACATAAATGATGTCAGTTAGGAAAAATGTAAATTATTTTTCTGGTAGATACTTTTATCCAGTTCTCTGGTATGTTATAAAATGGCACATTCCAAATATTATTATAATCACGCCTAAAGAGAGCACGCCTTTTTTAACCATTTATGTCCGTATATTCCCATCACTATGAATATTAAAATGTTTACTGCCTTGAGCTCAGTCAAGGCGTGGTGTGACTTTACAGTGAATCCTTTATTACCCTGCAAGGCATGGCATAACTGACTGTATGTAAGATGGGTAGTTCTCATTCCTTAACTAGTTGCCCTGCTCTTGCTCGCCCACATAGGTACAGTGTCCTCTGCCGCTCCTCGTCCTGTGGGGACGGCCTCCCCCCACTTCCACGGCCTCCTGGGAAAGGAAGCAGGAAGGCTGCCCCAGGCTGTGCTGCCCTGTTTCCATCACCCCGTCGGATAAGAACTGCCCGGCAAGGCTTAGGCCCTTCCCCCAGGACAGCCCCCTGCACCCGGAGAGCAGATGGCCGCTTCGTCAGCTGCCTCGGGAGGTTCTTGGGTGAATCGGTGGGGAAATGTGGGGAAAAGGCCGAGGAGTGCCATTTCTTCTGCTGCCCCACCAGGTGTGTGAGCACCAGCTTGTCCCCCTCGGGTTTGTGACCATTGCCTGACTTCGGGGCTCAGGCAGCTGACAGCACTTTTCCAGTTTTGCTGTCCCCTTCCCTGGAGAGGTTTCAGAACATTCTCGGGGTGTCTGCTGGCCGGTTCACCCTGGGCCTCTTGTTTTATTTCCCACCAGCTTTCACCTCTTCTCATTCTTCTTTTCTTCTTTCAGGTAAACTTGGGGAAATTTAAATGAGTTAGCCATGAAATAGTCGCAGAAATCATTAAAGTAAGAAGAGCAAGCAGTAAGAAAACCCAGCCACACAGCAAACTTATCTTTAATTCTTAGATCCGGGTGCCGTGCGGGAGCTCCAGAAATGAGGGGACAGCAGAAAGGAGAAAAATGCCATCACCCCACGATGCCATGGCAGCAAAAGCCCCACGTTCAGGTGGAAGGAACCCAATTTTTAAATGAGCACAAAAACTTGCATGGATATTTCTCCAAAGAAGGCATACAAATGGCCAATAAACACACACACACACACACACACACAAAGTGTGCTCAACATCATTAGTCATCAGGGAGATCCAAATAAAACCATACTGAGATATCACTTCACACCCACTAGACTGGCTGGAAATTAAAACAAAACAAAACAAAACAAAAACAACCGAAAATAACAAGTCCTGGCCAGCGCATGGCACCCCAGGCATTGCCGGTAGACATGAGAACGGTGTGGTTGCTGTGGAGAGCAGCTGGGAGATTTCTCAGTGAGGTAGACACAACTTCCCTGCGAGCAATTCCACTCCTAAGTGTATACCCCAAAGAATTAAAGCAGGTGCTCAAACAGAAACCTGGACATGAATATTCATAGCAGCATTACTTATAAATGAATGTAATGGGTTTATATAATAGAACATTTTTCAGCCATAAAAAGGGATGAAGTACTGGCACATGCCATACATGGATGAACCAGGAAACCACTACATTAAGGAAATAATCCAGTCCCAAAGGACCACATATTTTGATTACATTTATTATAAAACTAGAGGCCCAGTGCACAAAATTTGTGCACGAGGCGGGGGGGGGGGGGGGAGGGAGGGATTGTCCTTCAGCCCAGCCTGCACCCTCTCCAATCTGGGACCCCTTGAAAGCAGTTGGACATCCCTCTCACAATCCAGGATTGCTGGTTCCTAACTGCTCGTCTGCCTGTTTTCATGATTGCCCCTAACTGCTTCTGCCTGCCAGCCTGATCACCCCCTACAGCCTGATTTATGTCTAACTGCTCCCCTGCTACCCTGTTTGCCCCCAACTTCCCTCCCCTGCCGGCCTTGTCACCCCTAACTGCCCTCCCCTGCAGGGTTGATCACCTGCAACTGCCCTCCCTTGCAGGCCTAGTCCCTCTCAACTGCCCTCCCCTGCTGGCCATCTTGTGGTGGCCATCTTGTATCCACATAGGGGCAGGATCTTTGACCACATGAGGTCAGCTATTGTGTGTTGGAATGCTGGTCAATCTGCATATTACTCTTTTATTAGATAGGATAGAGGCCTGGTGTATGGGTGGGGCCAGCTGGTTTGCCCTGAAGGGTGCCCCAGATCAGGGTGGGGTTCCCTTGGGGAGTGGGTCGGCCTGAGTGAGGGGCCTGTGGTGGTTTGCAGGCCAGCAATGCCCCCCAGAAACCCAAGCGGAGGCCCTAGTATCTGAGATTTATTTACCTTCTACAATTGAATCTTTGTAGCCTGGAGCAGAGCCAAGCCTCCTGCTTGCTCTGTGGCAGCAGCCATTTCTGTTTGGATTTGTTTACCCTCTATAATTGAAACTTTGTAGCCTTGAGTGGAAGCTTAGGCTGGCTTCCACTCAAGGCTACAAAGATC